AAAGGTGAAATGGTCCTTTGGGGTTCCTGCTTCATAAAAGACTCAATAGACATTCTGCAAGATACAAAAGAAAGTGACTGGCAAACTGCCAATATAGGCAGAACTGTCTTTGAAATTTCATGCTTCATGAAAAAGTCTGCTGGATACTATGGGCCTGTAGGCTGAAGGTGGGTGCCCCAATGATACGGAAGAACTTTGGGTGACTGAGCAACAAGATGTCTCTGTCAGTTCTAGAGTTTTGGAAGTTGATTACAATGCATGTCCTGTTTACTTAGGTAATATTATATCCTTCTGGAGACTTTGATGGAGTTGAAGAATTTATAGTTATAGTTTTCCTTAGTTGTGATAAAAGATTAAGTAGATATAAATATTGTAAATGTAATTCTTGCTTGATACCTGTCTTTGTTTTGTTTTTTGAGACAGGGTTTCCCTGTGTAACAGTCCTAGCTGTCCTGGAACTAGCTCTTGTAGACCAGGCTGGCCTCGAACTCACAGGGAGTGCTGGGATTAAAGGCATGCGCCACCACAGCCCAGCCCTGTTTTGTTATATATAATTTTACTATGTTAAAGTTAAAGCATTCCTTTTTGTTTAAACAGGAGAAATGGTATAGGAGGTCCTTCTGTCTGTGTGTTGCTTTTATTGGTTAATGAATAAAGAACTGTGTTGAACCTATGGCAGGGAAGAACAGAACTAGGTGGGGAAAGCTAGGCTGTATGCTAGGAGAAAGAAGGGCAGAGTCAAAGAGAAGCCATGGAGCCACCACCTGAGACAGATGCTGGGAACTTTAGCTGGTAAGTCACTGCCATGTGGTGATACACAGGTTAATAGAAATGAGTTAAATTAATATAAGAGTTAGCTAATAAGAAGCTAAAACTAATGGGCCAAGCAGTGATTTAATTAATACAGTTTCTGTGTGATTATTTGGGGTCTAAGCTAACTGGGTGGCCGGGAACCAACAAGCGGCCCTCCTCCAACATTAGAGGACAAATTTTGGGAGTCAGTTCTCTCCTTCAATCATGGGGGTTCCAGGAATTGATCTCAAGTCATCATGTTTGGCATCAGGCACCTTTATCCACCAAGCTGTCTTTGCTACCCCAGGACAGGACTCTTGAACAAGAACATCAAATTGAGTTGATGAGTTGGAGAAGAAGCAATCTTTATTAAGGACGTGAGCATTTCAGGAGGGAATAGCAGTTACAAAAACTCTAAAGCCTGGACTTTGTGATAATTGGGATAAAATGCTCATCTTGGTTTTGTGGTGTTGAGGATTGAACATCGGGACTAAGCACATATTAAATAGCACTTGTGTTGAGTTATAACCTCAGGTTCTGTGATTGGTTTTTGTTTGTTTGGGGTTTTGGTTTGGTTTGGTTTAGTTTGGTTTTGGTTTTTCGAGACAGGGTTTCTCTGTGTAATAGCCGTGGCTGTCCCGGAACTCACTTTGTAGACTAAGCTGACCTCAAACTCACAGAGATCTGTCTGCCTCTCTTCCTGAGTACTGGGAGTAAAGGCATGCACCACCACTGCCTGGCTCGATGATAAACTGTTGTATAGAACTGTGGGAGAAATAAACCGTCTCTTTCTCAGGTTGTTTTGGTCGTGGTGTCTCATTACAGCAATAGTGACCCTAACTAAGGCAATCATGCCCTGTTATTCCCACTTCACAAATGGGAAAAGCAACTGGAGGAAGCTGAAAGCAGTTGTGACATGCTGCAGCGGGAAAGCCCAAAGCCTCTGCTCTAAGTTAGGTTGTTCCTCTCAGTAAAACCTCCCTTGCCTAGACAAGACATCACTGCAAGGTGCAGAGGGACTGACTGAGGGCGGAAGAGAAACAAAAACTACCTGCAGCTTTGGCTGACCTGTCTAACTCTACTCTGGTCTGAAAAAGAGTTTGTGTGTGAAGTATACATTGTCTCCGGGCTGAGAAAAAGAAGCTAAAAAGAGGGAATGTGGAGTACCTAGAATCCTTCTTTAAAATCTTGGAGACATTTAAAACATACATTTGAGGCATGGCAGTGGTGGCATACACCTTTACTCCCAGGCAGAGGCAGGCAGATCTCCGAGTTCAAGGCCAGCCTGGTCTACAGAGTGAGTTCCAGGACAGCCAGGCTACACAGAGAAACTGTCCCAAAAAAAAGAACAAAACAAAAAGAGAGAGAGAAAGAAGAGAAGAGACACATCATTCATCAGTTAGCATGAAAAAAAATGAGCCTCTGATTTAAAAAAAAAATTTTTCAAAAATATTGTTAAGCTCAGCCTGGCAGTGCATGCTTTAATTCCAATATTCAGTAGAGACAGGGGGATCTCTGTGAGTATGAAGTCAGCTTGGTCTACGTGCCAATTTTGAAGGCAGCCAGGGCTACATAGTGAGGCTTTGCCTTAAGAGAGAAAGAGAGAAGGAAGATAGCAAAAATGAACCACCCAGCCCTGAAAAACAAACAAACAACAAACAAACAAATGGAAAAGGTTATTAAGATATGGCTGGCTTAAGCATAATTTTTTTTAAAGAAATATTTATTTATTATGTATACAATATTCTGTTTGTGTGTATGTCTCCAGGCCAGAAGAGGGCACCAGACCTCATTACAGATGGTTGTGAGCCACCATGTGGTTGCTGGGAATTGAACTCAGGACCTTTGGAAGAGCAGGCGATGCTCTTAACCACTGAGCCATCTCTCCAGCCCCTTAAGCATAATTTTTATCAGACCCCAGAGCTACATCCTAGGGATGAGTACATGTGAAACCCTCACGTGCAACACACGCCAGGCGCACAGCTACCAGGACCAGGCCACTCCTGCATGATCTCTGCATGTTACGTGCCCGCATTTGTTCTGGTTTCCTTTCTGTTGTGAAAATAATCAGAGAAAAAGCAAGTTAGGGGAGCAAAGGGTTTACTTGGCTTCCGCTTCCAGGGCACCACCCATCACTGAGGGAAGTCAGGGCAAGAACTCAGGCAGGAGTGTGAAGCAGGAGCCACAGAGGAATGCTGCTTGCTGTCTCACTTCAGCTACCTTTCTGTCATGTTTGAGACAGGCTTTAACTATGTAGACCAGGCTGGCCTGGAACTTACTATGGAGCCCAGGCTGGCCTCAAACCCAGAGAAATCTGCCTGCCTCTACCTCCGAAGTGCTGATATTAAAGACATTAAAGACACCAAAACAGGTTTTCCTATTTATACAAGGCCACCTTCCAAGGAGATGGTACCACCCATATTGGACTGGGTTCTTCCTACTCATTTATCAAGACAACCCCCCACTGCCTTGTTGGCAGGACAGTTTTATCTAGAGCATTGCTCAATAGAGGCTTTCCTTCTCAGATGACTGTAGGCTGTGCCAAATTTAACCAGGGGACTGGAGAGACAGCACAGTGGTTAACATTGTTTACTGAGCTTCCAGATGACCTGCCTTTGGTCTCTAGCACCCACAGCAGATGGCTTACAACTGCCTATATTAATTGCAGCTTCAGGGGACCCGACACTCTCTTCTGGCCTCTGGGATTACCAGAATATACATGACATATACACAAACAGATACATAAATTTTTTCAAAAAGATGTATTTGTTTATTACGTGTATAGTATTCTGTCTGCAAGATTGTGGGCACACCAGAAGGCACCAGATCTCATTACAGATGGTTGTGAGCCACCCTTGATTGCTTGGAATTGAACTCAGGACCTCTGGAAGAGCAGTCAATGCTCTTAACCTCTAAGCATTTCTCCAGTCCCTACATAAAATTTTTTAAGAAGCTAACTAGGGCATTATTAGAATCTCTTTCTTAAAATGGGGACTGCAGCAGCCATGTCAAAGAGCTCTGGTGAAACAAGCGAGACCTCAGCAACTGTTGAATATGGCCTACTCTTAAGGTCTCTCAAAGCCCAGGCCGGCCCTGAACTTACAAAGAATGACCTCAAACTTCTGATTTTTAGACCTGCAACTCCCAAGTGTTGGGATTACAGGCATGTTCTACCCACACACCCAATTAATGTAGGCTCTAAGGCTGAAATCCATAGCTTCAAGTACGCTAGGCAAACACTCTACCACAATATCTTACTGTAATGCATACTAAAACCTCCAGTCTGATGCCTGGTGGTGGGCGGTGGTGGGTGGTGGCGCACGCCTTTAATACCAGCACTCCAGAGACAGAGGCAGGCAGATCTTTGAGTTCAAATCCAGCCTGCTCTTCAGGGAGAGTTGCAGGACAGTCAGGACTACACAGAGAAACCCTGTCTTGAGAACGAACAAACAAAAACCTTCAGCCTGAAGTGGTAGTGCGTATATTTAATTTCAACACTCAGGAGGCAGAGGTAGACAGAACTCGTGAGCTCCTGGCCAGACTGGTTTCTGCAGCAAGTTTCAGGACAGCCAAGGCTACGTAGAGAGACCCAATCTCAATCACTCCCCAAAATACTACCCCCAAAACCAAAAAAGAACTTTCAGAGATGGCATATGGGTAGAATTCTTTCCTGTAAAGCATCCTATCTTGGGTCTCCCCGGTTCACTGTTTGTGGTGGGTGTGGGTGTGCACTCATGTGCATGTGCACACACGCACAAACTTGAGCATGAGTATGGACATGTAGAGGCAATTACCCACGATCAGCTATGGATCTTTAGGACACATCCATCTTTTTTTTTTTTTTAAAGGCAGCGTTGCTCATTGGCCTGGACCGCATAAGGCAGGTTATACTAGTTGGCCGGTGAGCCCCAGGAATTTGTCTCTACCTTCCAAACACTGGGCCACTGCGCTGGCTTTTTAAAAAACATGGCTTTTCAAGATCAAACTCAGGCTTTGGTTGCAATCACTTTAACAAATGAGTTATCTCCCCAGCCTTGTGATCTCTTCTTCACACTTTACAGTCCAAGCACTTACTGGCAACCAGTTACCACCTTGGTGCGGGGGTGGGGAGGTGGGGGGTGGGAAGGCACAGGGACAGGACAAACCTGAGTTGGGGGAGGGGGTCGGGGAAGGGGGAGGGAGGAAACCCAGAAGAGTTAAAATGCATTCTTGTTCTCTTTTAATTGAAAACCCTAAAGAGGCACACCCACTTGGAAACTACTTCCTTAATAATTAGTGAGGAAGGAAAGATTGAAGCGGTAAGCTTAAAAACTGTCAAAAAAGGCCTGCTGACCAACATGGAGGAACTCGGTGGCGGGCGAAAATACTTTTAAGAGGTCTTTCAGGTTTCCTGTAGAAAATAAGAAAGAAACGAACATCAGTTATCCCCCTCCCAGGTCTTACAAAGAGCACTAGAAGTTCCTAGTTCTCTCTCCTGCGAGACCAGGTGTCACTCTAGCCCATGGGGATCTGAAACTCACAACAAAGCCCAGGCATCCTCCTGCCTCTGCCTCCTGAGGGCAAGGAGAACAGGTCAGAGCCACTAGTCGGTAGTTTTTGTTATTTTTTTTTTTTTTTAGACAGGGTCTCAAGTAGCCCAGGCTGACCTCAGACTGTGTAACCAAGGATAACCATAAACTTTTTTTTTTTTTTTGAGACAGGGTTTCTCTGTGGTTTTAACCATAAACTTTTGATCCTCCTTCCTCCCCCTCCCTCATGCCAAGATTACTGGTACGTAGTCAGTGCTGGTGACTGACCCTGGGGAGTTATGCACACTGGGAGAACACTGTCAGCTGAGCTGCTTCTCAGCTGAGCTGCTTCTCAGCTGCTTCCTTTGTTGTCTCATGTAGCCCAAGCTAGCCTCAAACTGACTATGTAGCCAATAATCTTGAACTTTTTTTTTTTTATTATGTTTACAATATTCTGTCTGTGTGTATGCCTGCAAGCCAGAAGAGGGCACCAGACCTCATTACAGATGGTTGTGACCCACCATGTGGTTGCTGGGAATTGAACTCAGGACCTCTGGAAGAGCAGTCAGTGCGCTTAACCTCTGAGCCATCTCTCCAGCCCCTAATCTTGAACTTTTTAAAAATCTTTTAATTATATAAAAAAAAATGAGCCAAGCAGCGGTGGTACATGCCTTTAATCCCAGCACTTGGGAGACAACGGCAGGCAAATCTCTGTAAGTTCGAGGCCAACCTGGTCTACACAGTGAGTGAAAGAACAGGCTCCACAGCTACAGGGAAATCCTATCTCAAAAAACCAAATAGCGGCTGGAGAGATGGCTCAGTGGTTAAGAGCATTGCCTGCTCTTCCAAAGGTCCTGAGTTCAATTCCCAGCAACCACATAGTGGCTCACAATCGTCTGTAATGAGGTCTGGTGCCTTCTTCTGGCCTGCAGACATACACAGAATATTGTATACATAATAAATAAATAAATAAAAACTTGTTTAAAAAAAATATGCCGGGCGATGCAGACGGATCTCCGTGAGTTTGAGACCAGCCTGGACAGGCTCCAAAGCCACAGAGAAACCCTGTCTCGAAAAACAAAATAATAATAACAATAATAATAATAATAAATAAAATAAAAATATTTGTGTTTGCCCAAATATACGTCTGTGTATGAAGTGCATGCAGTCTCCTCGGAGGCCAGAGTGGGTATTAGATCCTCTCGAATTGGAGTTACAGATGGATATGAGGCACTGGATGTAGGTGGGGGGAACCAATTCTGTGTCCTTTGAAAGAGCACTGCTGAGCCACCTCCAGTCTCTGACCTTGAACTTCTGACCCCCTCACCTCTTCCCTAGAGTGGAGTACAGGTGTGCACCATCATACCTGGTTTTTGTCTCCTGGTTTGTTTGTTTTTTTTTAAGATTTATTTATTATGTACAGTGTTCTGCCTGCGTGTATGCTTGCAGGCCAGAAGAGGGCACCAGATCTCATTACGGGTGGCATGAGACTGGGAATTGAACTCAGGACCTCTGGAAGAGCAGTCCGTGCTCTTAACCTCTGAGGCATCTCTCCAGCCCTTGTCTCCTGTTTTGTTGGTTCTTTTTTTTTTTCCTTTGTTTTTGTTTTTGTCAACTTGACACATACTAGGGTCATCTGGGAAGACAGAGGTATCAGATTGGCTTGTGAGGGCATTTTCTCAATTAATGATTGATGTGGAAGAGGCCAGCCCACCGTAGGCACAATCACCTGAGCTGGGATTGTACTGGGAGATACAAGAAAGGCAAGGGAACATGAACCTCTAAGGACTGCTCTTCAATTCCTGCCTTTGGGTCCCTGCCCTGACCTCTTTAAACTGAAAGAAACCCTTTCCTGCCCAAGGTGCTTTGGTCGCGAGGTGTCTCTCACAGCATTAGAAAGCAAACAAGGAGGGACTGTTTTGTTTGGAGGCATTGCCTCACACTGGGTCCCTGCGTGGTTGGCCTCCAACTCCAGCAGCAGTCTCTGGAGCACTGGGATGGCTTACAGGGGTAAGCTGCCCTGTCTGCCGGAATAGACTTGAGACATATTGTGGCATTTCTGAGCGAGGCCTTTCTCACCAAACTGCAAACTGCCAAACCATAGTCTTTCACTAGCAGCCAGGAGACACCTGGGAGGGGTCGGGTACAGTTCCAAATAACGCGGGAAGTCATAGAAAGGTGTGAGAGATGAACGAAAACATGGTGGCACAGACCTGTAATCTCATGGCTGCAGAGGTTGAGGATTGTCACAAATACCATGGCAGCCTGAGCTACACTGGGCCGCATCACTAAAACAACACAGCATGTGACCATGGCCCATGGTTGAAATTTCGGCATTTGGAGGGGAACGGGGGAGGCTGAGGAGTTCCAGGCCAGTTTAGGCGACATGAGACCACTGTGTCAGAAAATAAAAAAATAAAAGCCAGGCAGTGGGGGCGCACGCCTTTAATCCCAGCACTCAGGAGGCAGAGGCAGATGGATCTCTGTGAGTTTGAGGTCAGCCTGGTCTACAGAGTGAGTTCCTGGACAGCCAGGACTACACAGGGAAACCCTGTCTCAAAAAACCAGAAAATAAAAATAAAACTATTAAAAAGAAGGAGAGCTGGAAAGATGGCTCAGTGGTTAAGAGCACTGGCTGCTCTTCCAGATGTCCTGAGTTCAATTTCCAGCAACCACAGGGTGGCTTGCAACCATCTATAATTGAATCTGATGCCCTCTTCTGGCCTGCCAGCAAACATGTAGAGCATTCATACATAGAATATAAATAAAAAAAAGAAAAACCATTTTTTAAAAAAAAGAGAGAAAGAGCTAGGCATTGTTGCACTTGTCTCATCATCCTAGCTCTTGGAAGCTGGAGACGGGACGAGGTTCAAGGTAATCCTCCACTACACAGGGAGTTCGAGACCAGCCTGAGATAATAGGCGATTCTACTTCCTACCCCCCACCAACGGGCTCTGCTTGCCCATACCCTCTCAGGGCAGGCGCGTGCGCGGCCGCGGTTGCAGCTGGCGTTGGCGCCGCTTGCGCTGCGCGTTGATCAGGATCTGCGCCACCTTGCGCTCGTGGCCGCCGGGCACCGGGTGGTTGGTGCGCAGTTGCTGCTCGCGCCGCGTCCGGCCCTTGCTGCGGCCAGCTCCGGAGGCCGGGAAGTCACGCAGGTAGTAGTAGTCCAGGCAGTCGTACAGCTCGTCGTCGAAGCCCGCAATGGGCAGCGCCTCCGGCGGCGGCGGGCGCACTCGAGCCCGTGGGCGGGAGACGGGAGGACGAGTTGGCGGATCCATCACGCCGCTGCGCTCCGCCCGCCGCCGCCGCTGGCTGCTCAGGCCGGAAGGCCCCGGCCAGTGCTCCTATTGGCTCCGCTCTAGGGGTGAGCCCTGTGACCTCACAGAGGGGCGTGGCTTGCGCCGACGCTTCTTTGTTCCCGATTGAAAATCCTAAGTGTTCCTGCGGGACAGTATTGTTAACTATAAACCTTCAGGTGCTGTTGGTCAAAAAACCTGAAGGGACGGAACGAGGGAATGTGGCTCAGTGGGTGGAGTGCTTACCTAGCATGAACGAAGCCCTGGGTTCCACCCCAGCACTGTATAAATCTAGTGTGGTTGGGTACACCTGTAATTCCAGCACGGAGATAAAAGATGGGGGCCCTTCCGGCCGAATGTATTGGCTAGCTCAGTTTGGGTTTATTTTTGCAAAAGGAAATAGGCTTGCGGAATCACTTTCGCTTGGTTCGTGAGTTTCTTTATGTGACATGATTATTGTCTTCAACATTACTTTTTCATTGTTACAGCCAAATACTTGGCAAGAATCAGTTTAGAAGAGGGTGTATTTTGGCTCACAGTTTGAGAATACATACAATCAGATGGGAAGGCATAGTGGGCAGGATGATGAGGCTATTTGTTCATACCTGCATTGGTCAATCAGGAAGTAAAAGAAAGGGGAATTCTAGCGCCTTGTTTGCTTTCTCTCCCCCCCCCCTCCATTTTGAGTCCCCAGCCCACTGTATGGTGTGATCTACATTCAGGGTGGGTTGCCCCTTCTCAGTCTATAATCTCTGGAAACTTCCTCAACGGATACACCTAAAAGCATGCCTCATAAATTGAGAAGACAGACCTACTGACCATCCCAAGCTGGAACGGAGGGACTGGATAGTTTGTTTTTGTTTTGTTTTGTTGTTGTTGTTTTTGGCTTTTCAAGACAGGGTTCCTCTATTGTAGCTTTGGAGCCTGTCCTGGAACTAACTCTGTAGACCAGGCTGGCCTCAAACTCAGAGACTCACCTGCCTCTGCCTCCCAAGTGCTGGGATTAAAGGCGTGCGCCACCACGGCCTGCTAAGAGCATTTGTTTGCTTATTTATTTATTTATTTTGTATACAATATTCTGTGTGTATGTCTGTGGGCCAGAAGAGGGCACCAGACCTCATTATAGATGGTTGTGAGCCACCATGTGGTTGCCGGGAATTGAACTCAGGACCTTTGGAAGAGCAGACAATACTCTTAACCACTGAGCCATTTCTCCAGCCCAAGAGCATTTATTATTCAAGCACAGGGACTTGAGTTTGGGTTCCCACCATGCACATAAAAAGCCAGGTGTGGCTGCATAGGCCTTTCCCCTCATTCCTGTAGAGGGACTACCAAGAGAGGCAGGAGAGACTCAGTGGGGCTTGCTGGCCAGCCAGTCTAGCCAAAACAGGACAGATTCAGTGAGAGACCCTATCTCTAGGGAATAGGAAGAGCAATAGAGAAAAACACTCAACATCCTCCATCATTCTGTGTACGAATGAATGGAATATAAGAGCATGTGTGCATGTATGTGTGTGCTTTCACACACACACAGAGAACCAAGCAAGAACAAAAATAAAAGTAGCCGTTCAAGGGCTAACAAGATGGCTCAACAGATAGCACTTCTAAAGAGATCGATGGACCGAAACACTGCTTTCCAGAGTGGTTGCACAAGTTTGCATTCCCACCAGCAATGGGTGAGTGTACCCCTTTCTCCACAACCTCTCCAGCAAAGGCTATCTGTAAAACTTACAGATCACTGTCCCAGGCAACAGCCCTCTTCGCAACCAGGAAAGGAGTCTAGTCGCAGGCGGAGCAGGAAGTGAAGAGAGAGAGAAGAGGGAAGTGGCCGCTTTTTTAAAGGGAGAGAAACCACGCCCCAGTGGGCTGGTACCTCAGCGGTGATAGGCTGGAGGAGTGGGAGGACCTCCCGCAACACCTGGTGTTTTTTATTTTAGCCATTCTGACAGGTGTAAGGTGGTATCTTAAAGTTGTCTTGATTTGCATTTCCCTGATCGCTAAGGAAGTTGAGCATGATCTTAAGTGTCTTTTGGCCATTTGAAGTTCTTCTGTTGAGAATTCTCTGTTCAGATCAGTGCCCCATTTTATAATTGGGTTGATTAGCCTTTTACGGTCTAGTTTCTTGAGTTCTTTATATATTTTGGAGATCAAACCTTTGTCAGTTGCAGGGTTGGTGAAGATCTTCTCCCAGTCAGTGGGTTGTCTTTTTGTCTTAGTGACAGTGTCCTTTGCTTTACAGAAGCTTCTCAGCCTCAGGAAGTCCCATTTATTCAATGATGCCCTTAGTGTCTGTGCTGCTGGGGTTATACATAGGAAGTGGTCTCCTGTGCCCATGTGCTGTAGAGTACTTCCCACTTTCTCTTCTATCAGGTTCAGTGTGTTCGGACTGATATTGAGGTCTTTAATCCATTTGGATTTGAGTTTTGTGCATGGTGATAGATATGGATCCACACACTAAGACAATGGGGATGTTCTATTGGGATCTCACCAAGGCCAGCTGGCCTAGGTCTGAAAAAGCATGGGATAAATCCGGACTAGCTGAACATAGCGGACAATGAGGAATACTGAGAATTCAAGAACAATTGCAGTGGGTTTTTGATCCTACTGCACGTACTGGCTTTGTGGGAGCCTAGGCAGTTTGAATGCTCACCTTACGAGACCTGGATAGAGGTGGGCAGTCCTTGGGCTTCCCACAGGTCAGGGAACCCTGATTGCTCTTCAAGCAGATGAGGGGGGGGGACTTGATCGGGGGAGGGGGAGGGAAATGGGAAGCGGTTGTGGGGACGAGGCAGAAATCCTTAACAAATAAATAAATTTAAAAAAAAATAAAAAATAAAAAAAAAATAAAGAGATCGGATGGGGCTGGAGAGATGGTTCCGTGGTTTAGAGCACTGCCTGCTCTTCCAAAGGTCCTGAGTTCAATTCCCAGCAACCACATGGTGGTTCACAACCACCTGTAATGAGATCTGGTGCCCTCTTCTGGCCTGTATACTTAATAAATAAATAAACCTTTAAAAAAAAATAAATAAAAAATAAAGAGATCGGATGACCAGATCTCTCTCTCTCTCTCCTTTCTCACTCATTTATTGTGAGTGGTAGTTTGATTTGAATAATAAGAAGAAGATTTAGTTGTTTATGTACATCAGTGTTTTGCCTGGTGCCCGAGGATGGTGACCAAAACACTGATACACATAAATAAATCTTACTTTTTTTTTTTTTTTCGAGACAGGGTTTCTCTGTGGTTTTGGAGCCTGTCCTGGAACTAGCTCTTGTAGACCAGGCTGGTCTCGAACTCACAGAGATCCGCCTGCCTCTGCCTCCTGAGTGCTGGGATTAGAGGCATGCGCCACCACCGCCCGGCATAAATCTTACTTTTTAAATAAAAAAAAAGCCCTACAGACTTTCCTACAGGCAATCTGATGGAAGTATTTTAAAAAATCAGATCCCCTGAAACTGTTCATTGTGGATCAAGTCTTCTCGACCTCCTATTGCTGTGACCCTTTAACACAGTTCCTCATGTTGTAATGACCCAACAATAAAATTATTTCATTGCTACTTCATAACTGTAATTTTGCTACTGTTATGGCTTGTAATGTAAACATCTGATATGTAGGATTTATTTTTTCTTTCTTTTTTCGGTTTTTCTAGACAAAGTTTCTCTGTGTAGCCCTGGCTGTCCTGGAACTCACTCTGTAGGCCAGGCTGGCCTCAATCTCACAGAGATCCACCTGCCTCTGCCTCCCAAGTGCTGGAATTTATAGCGTGTACTACCACCACTACCTGGCATAGAATTTATTTTCACTGTTACAAATTGAACATTATTAAAGCATAGTGATTAATTCTCCAAAAAAAAACAGTATGTATTTATTGTTAAATATTTATTTCCAGTTATAAATAATGAAATTTTGTCTTGAATCATGGTGTAGTATCATGGGTAAGTCTTTTTTTATTGTGTATACAATGTTCTGCCTGCAGGCCAGAAGAGGACACCAGATCTCATTATTGATGGCTGTAGCCACCATGTGGTTGCTGGGAATTGAACTCAGGAATTAATTCAGCCAGTACTATTAACCTCGAAGCCACCTCTCCTAGGTAACAGTCTTAATATAACATCAGTACCTGGGTGGCGACTTTAATTCCAGCTCTTGGGAGGTAGAGATAGGAGAATCTCTATGAGTTTGAGGTCAGCATGGTATACAATGCAAGTTCCAGGACAGCCAGGCTACAAAGACAAACCCTATCTCCCAACAAAACAAAATAAAGAATGAAACAAAACCCAGAACAACTTGCTACATTTTGTAATAGTATCTGTAAAATGCCAACTTCAGCCAGGCAGTGGTGGTATACACCTTTAATCCCAGCACTTGGGAGGCAGAGACAGGTGGATCTCTATGAGTTCGAAGCCAGCCTGGTCTACAGAGCCAGTTCCAGGACGGGCTCCAACAGAGAAAGCCTGACTCGAAAAACAAAAAACAAAACAAACAAACAAACACACACACATAAAAAGCAAAAAGTCAATGCCAACATCAGTGTGAAGGTTGAGACTGCTTCTTTCTCACTAGATCAGAAATTCTCGGGGCAGTCTTTGCAAGAGCACAACGGAGATCATTTTCCACAGCGAGCCTACGTCTGTATTTGGACTTGATAACCAACAAGTTGGAAAACCCTGTCTCACAAAGATATGTTGTTGGAAATGGAAGGAGGAGGCGCAACACGGTCTCAGACAGAACAGGGTAGGACTGCAAACACTTGACCCAGAAACGTGAAAGTGGCAATGCAGAGAAGTCAGCTCTCACTGCTTCGCTGTTAATAAGTCTGACAAACTCCTCTTGTGCCGTCTCAGGGACATCTTCAACTCTGACTGTGAACGGACTTCTAGCAAGGGCAAATGGGACGGCAGGTAGACTTGGAACGTACCAGGAAATTTCTTCGGCAAGCACGTGCAAGTGCTCTTTCACGGAAACGATCACTGAAGTCCTTCCGGAGGGTTTAATGTCATGTTCCTCAAAGAAAGCAGAGAGGGTAGGCAACATGTGGATTTTATTTTCTTCCAGCTCTTTTTGCCAAAGCTGAAGCTTCATTTGGAATGACTGGATCTTTTCAGACAAATCGAGGCATGTTGCATTTGGTCCTTGCAGTGATAAACTTAATTCACGCAAGACAGCAAAGATGTCGACCAAGTAAGCTATTTTCTGCAATTCACATTGATCACTGAAAAGTGCTACGAACTGTGGTCTTGCTTTCTGACTAAAAAATATTCTGAGTTCATCACGAAGCTCAAAAACACATTTTAAAACGGTTCCTTTGGACAACCACCTCCCTTCGGTGTGAAATAGCAGAGCTTTGTTGGGTGCGTCAAACTCGTTGCACAGTTGCGAAAACAGCCGACTGTTTAACGTGTTCGCCTTGACAAGATTGACAGAACCGATGACGCTTTGCATGACTTCTTTTAAGTCTTGTGGCAGTGTCTTCATTGCTAACGCATGCAGATGAACCATACAGTGAGTTCCGATGACTTCCGGTGACTCGTTCAGGACCAAACGCTGAAATCCAGACTGACATCCTAGCATAGCCGGAGCACCGTCGGTGCAAACCCCACAAACCATTTCCCATGAGAGCTTGTGCTCCTTCAGAAATGAACCAACTCTGTCAAATACATCATGTGCAGTGGCTGTTGTTTCAAGAGGTTTGCAAAAGAGGAATTCATCTTTGAAGTCGCCGTCGTTAATGTACCTCACGTAAACCAGTAACTGGGAACAGTTTGTGACATCTGTAGATTCATCGAGCTGGATACTGAATATTGGAAGTGGAGCAGATTTAATTTCCTGGATGACCTGGTTAAGAATATCGGCAGACATGTCATTTATTCTTCTGCGGACAGTGTCATTAGATAAGGAAACCGCGCTCAGCTGCATACCAAATTCCTTTCCGATCAGAACTCGAACACTGTCTTTGGCCGCTGGCAACAGTAAATCCTCAGCAAAGCTGTGAGGCTTCATAGTCCTGGCGATTCTGAGCGCCACCAAGTAGGAAAACTCAACGGCTATGACATTCTGTTTGGGGTATTTGCTGCCAGTGTCAAGCCTGGCTTTCTTGAGCTCATCAGCTTTGCTTCTAAAATAGTTGATATCCTTGTCGGCAAAGCTCAGGTGCTTGCTGTCAAAATGGCGTTTCAGTTTGTTTGGTTTCATAGACTCCGCTGAGAGAACGTCCCCACAAATAACACACTGCGGTTTCTCAACGCCTGCTGTCGTTTTTGAGGTAAAACCATACCGTAAGAATTCTTCACTGTATCTTCTATTCTTAACCTTCTTCTCTACACGGTCCACTCTTGGGGGATGGCCCTCTAATGAAAATAATACACGACAGTAGCTTTAATAATACAGAAGATGACCAAGTGGTGGTGGCGCACGCCCTTAATCCCAGCACTCTGGAGTCAGAGGCAGTTGAATCTCTATGAGTTCGAGGCCAGCCTGGTCTGCAAGAGCTAGTTCCAGGACAGCTGTTACACAAAGAAACCCTGTCTTAAAAACAAACAAACAAATAGTTCCCATAATCCATACTTTTTTCTACAGTAGTTGATGACTTTACAGTACACGATTTGACACTTACCCGGTAATTATAATTCATGAAGTGTTGTTTGCTGCTTTCAACACCATAGCTGCTTGCTACACATGTGTGCCTGGTCTGCATAACTATATTTTGGCACCAACCCTGTCACATACACCTGCATTTGCACAGGGTGTATGTGATGGGGTTGGCACAATGATGTCATCACTGGTACCCCTATGTGGACTTGACTTATCTGCATGTAGGCAGCCCAGCCCGGAGACAACAGCAGAGCAGGGAATCAGTACCTAAGATGATCACAAATATGTGTTTTCCCATGTCCTAGATGACCCCAAAGGGGTCACGACAACTTGCAGGTTGAGAACAGCTACCCCACAGGGGTGAGGATTATCAATCTCTCTAAGCAGATGACAGGTCACCTACCATTTGCAATTCTGCACTGCCACAACACCTCATTGAAGCCCTCGCAGAGCTTGACGTCACTCTGGTTCTGGGCACACTCCAGAAACTGTTTGATCTCAAGAAAGCAAGGTCCAGGAGACTGCTGGGCCAGCAGCTGGGCTCCCCGGGGCTCCTGCCAAGACACAACATTAGGTACTCCTGAGAAAGTGTAGGTGCACACAAGAGTAGCATTCACAGACTCTTAGCTGGGAAAACAAAGATGAAAACTTAGTTATCCATCCAGTAATATGGTAGTGAAAACCATTTAAAGGTAGAAAGCAAAACAAAAAAAACGTTAACGTTAAAAACCAAAGATACCCTCCAATTCAGAAAACAAACAAATGGCAAACCAGGAAACAAACAAATGGCAAACCAGGCCACCGGAGTATGAACGGGGGAGTGGTTCTACGAAGGCTTTGCTCAGTATACACAAGCTATGGACTTCACCCCAACACTGTAAATATAAAATCAAAACATTAAAATCTGGCTAGGGAAGCTGAGGATGGCAGTGCATACCTTTAATCCCTGCACTCAGGAGGCTGAGGCAGGCAGGTCTCTGACTAAGAGCACCTTTACAAAGCCAGGTCCAGGATAGCCTACACAAAGAAATCGTGTCTTGGAAAACAACAACAACAAAAACACAAAACCAAAACAACAAACCAGGGTAGGAGTCCAATAATAAGTCTGTCTAGTTTACCTTGGATTTGAACCCCAGAATCACAAATAGAAACACAAAAAAGTGAACCACTCAAACTGGACAGTGGTGGCGCACGTCTTTAATCCCATCACTTGGGAGACAGAGGCAGGCGGATCTCTGTGAATTCGAGGCCAGCCTGGTCTACAAGAGCTAGTTCCAGGACAGGTTCCAAAGCTACAGAGAAACCCTGTCTCAGAAAAAAAAATACAATGACACATTCTTAAGGAAAATAGGGCTATTATTGGAAAGAAATGGACAAGAACTTTAGCTACACCACCTTTCAAGAGATTACATGTTCCTTAGTAAACACAAAATCCTCAGATCCACAAGAGGGCAAAAACTATCAGGTCAGGGGTCACAGGCCGTCAACAGGACTTGTGATTATGTAACAGAGACTGAACTGAAAGGCAAGGCCTCATGGCTGTAACTCCAATCCTTGAGAAGCCAACCAAGGAGACAGCTACAAGCTTGGAGCCAGCTTCGGTCACACACTGAAGACTCTGTCTCCAAGTGAAGCATAGGAATCCAGTGTAGCCAAGATAAACTCTTAATGCCAAGGCAGGATTGCTGTAAGTTCAAGGTCATCTTGAGTCAGATTCTCTCAAAAACAAAATCACCTAGAGGGAAAATGGCCATCTTACCAGTAAGTTGGGCTGGACTGTTATAATTCCAGTCTGCTCTACTTACTGGTGCTCGCCTAAGGGTCTAACTCAAACCACACTATGTGTGTGATGCTCGCACACGAGTGTGTGAATGGGTGTGCCCACAGGAGCCCAATCAAGACATGGGTTCTTCCCTCTACCACTCTCCATCCTACTGCCCTGAGACAGAGCTCTCACTGAAACCCGTCATTTCATCTCAACTGCCAGCTGCCAAGCTGTGGATCTGCTCATCTCCCTCCACAATGCAGGAGATGCAGATATGCATGGCTATGCCTGACTCTGTGGGTTCACGGGCTTTGAACTCAGGTCCGCACGGCTTCAGAGTAAGTGCTTACTCACTGAACCATAGCCCAGCAAACCCCTACTTTAAAGGGGGTGGGGAAGCACCACTTTGTACTGCATTCCTAAAATTAAACACAGGGCACTACGTAAAAGATGTTTACCAGCTGCCAAGTTCTCTCCGAAGACACAAGCACACAGAGGAAAAGCAGCCCCAGATCCTACCTGGTAAGTGATGTCAGGCCTCGCAGGCTCAGCACTGCCACCTCCACTGAAGGCCCCAGTGACGGCATGACCCAGGGTGTGGCCCACTGCAGAGCCCACAGCCACACCGGCTGCAGTGGTCGCCATCTGGGCCATCAGGCCTGGCTGCCGGGGTGCAGCAGCAGGTGAGCCAACTGCAGATGGTGCAGTCGCTGTTGCTGGAGGATGAGCTGCAGGCGCTTGTCTGGGAGCAGGTCTCATCTGAGGGGCCCGGCTAGGAAAGAAAAGAACCAAACTCATCAGCTCCCAGTTCCAAATGGCTCTGGAAGTTACTGAAGAAGTGAACCAAGCCAGGTTCTGAGGCACACACCTGTAATGCCAGCACCGGGATGGAAGAGACAGAAAAATCAACAGGCCAAGGTCACCCTACACAGTCATTTCTCCTCCTTCTACATTATTATTTTTTCAAAGAATAAAAACTGCAACACTCCCCTCTTTTCTTTCCCCCCTCCCATATGCCCCTCCTTGACTGACTGCAAACTTTTTTCATTAACTGTTATTAGATGCGTTTATGTGTATACACATACATTCTTTTTGTTTGTTTTTGGTTTTTTAAGACAGGGTCTCTTTGTAGCTTTGGAGCCTGTCCTGGAACTCTCTCTGCAGACCAGGCTGGCCTTGAACTCCTGCTCTGGGCATTCCTCAGTTGCTGGTAGCTCCTGCTGTAGGCTGAGCCTTCGGGTTTTCACCATACTTTGGCATATCTACTGTCATCCTTGTTCTACAGCGTGATTTTAAAGGATACTCTCCTCTCAAAAAATAAAAACAAAAACCAACCAACCAAAAATTAAATAAATGCCCTAGCCAAAACAAGAGTGAGCTCTACCTACGAATCCTATACCAGCCTCACCTAGTACTGGGATTACAAGCATTTTCACCCTGCCTCGCTTCATTTTAAATCTTATTTTATAATTGTTTACATGCATGTATGTCTGTGTACCACTTGTATGCCAGAAGAGGCCTTTAGATCACCTGGACCTAGAGTTACAGATGGTTTTGAGGGGTCATGTGGGTGCTGGGCATCAAACCTGTGTCCTCTGGAAGGTCACTCAGTTCTCTTAACTGTAAAGACAACTTTCCAGCCTCATTTTAAATCTCTAACCCGACATACCAAACCCACGCAGGAAGGCTACAGAAACTGTTTCCAATTGCTGCATATAAACACTGATGTACCTCTTTAATCTTCTGTTAAGGTTTTAACAACCAAGCATATACTATTTTGTCCTTTTTGTAACGATTTTCATGTATCCACATGGCTCACAGTATCTTTTAAAAAGTTATTACAATACTTCATAAAATCAAAAACCTTAAGAGTTAGAAAGGGCTGTGGTGGTGCACTTTAATCCCAGCACTCATGAGGCAGAGGCAGGAGGATCTCTGCGTTCACAGCCAGCCTGGTCTATAGGGTGAGTTCCAAGACAACAAATGCCACACAGAGAAGCCCTATCTTAAAAAAAAACAAAAAAAGAGTTAAAAAGTAAGACGGAGCCGGGCGATGGTGGCGCACACCTTTATTTTTATTTTTTTATTTTTTTAATATTTTTATGGTTTATTTAACTTTATTTTATGTGCATTGGTGTGAAGTGTCAGATCCCCTGGAACTGATCTTCAGACAGTTGTGAGCTGCCATGTGGGTGCTGGGAATTGAACCCGGGTCCTCTGGAAGAGCAGTCAGTGCTCTTAACCACTGAGCCATCTCTCCAGCCCCTGGCGCACACCTTTAATCCCAGCACTCAGAAGGCAGAGGCAGGTGGATCTCTGTGAGTTCGAGACCAGCCTGGTCTACAGAGCTAGTTCCAGGACAGGCTCCAAAGCCACATAGAAACCGTCTCGAAAAACCAAAAAAAAAAAAAAAAAAAAAGTAAGACGGAGAGATTGCTCAAGAGTTAAGACTTGCACACTATTCTTCCACAGAGCACAAGTTCAGTTCCCAGCAACTCTTTTTTTTTTGTAGACCAGGCTGGTCTCAAACTCACAGAGATCCGCCTGCCTCTGCCTCTGCCTCCCAAGTGCTGGGATTAAAGGCGTGCGCCACCGCTGCCCAGCTTCCCAGCAACTCTTAACTGCCCACAGTGAAACTCAGATCTAAGCCACCTGACACCTCTGGCCTTCCTAGGCTCACATCCCTACTTCATTTGCACATACCCATTCACAGGCAATAGCTGCCTGAAAGATTATTTAAATATTAAACAGCTGCTGCTTGTACAACAGTATTTCAGGCTGGGCGGTAGTGGCCCATGTCTTTAATCCCAATACTCAGGAGGCAGAGACGGCAGATCTCTGTAAACTCAAGGCTGTTCCAGTACACAGAGTGAGTTTAGGACAGCAAGAACTAGAGAGGGAGCAAACGGCTTTCATTTTATTACTCTATCAGTTTCAAATTAAATGTCATCGGATTAAAGAAATATCATACAGCTATCGCTATAGAATCTAGTGCGTCTCAGCCTTCCTAATGCTTCGACGTTTTAATACAGTTTCTTGTGGTGACCCCCAAGAATAAAATTATTTTTGTTGCTACTTCATAACTATAATTTTGCTACTGTTACGATTGCAATGTATATATGTTTGGAGAGAGAAGCTGGTTAACCGGGTCCTGACTCAAAGGTTAAGAATGGTTGCCAAGGGCTGGAGAGATGGCTCAGCGGTTAAGAACATTGCTTGTTCTTCCAAAGGTCCTGAGTTCAAATCCCAGCAACCACATGGTGGCTCACAACCATCTGTGCCCTCTTCTGGCCTGCAGACAGAATATTGTATACATAATAAATAAATATTTTTTTAAAAAAAAAGAATGGTTGTCAAGGTGTACTAAAACTTTAGGACAATCAAGGAGTCTCCCTAACCTAGCTGACTTCTGAAATAAGATTCAGAGATTGAGGGGAGGGGAGATGGCTAATGAAATGTCTCCCTGGAGAGTGGGGCTTGCTGCCAAGCCTGACAATCTGAGTTCGATCCCTGGAATCTACAAGATGAAAGGAAACAACTAAAAAAAGATGCCCTCGGCCTTCACACAGGCTCCAAGGTACACACGCACACATGCACACATGCACACACACACACACACACACAGAAACATACAAAGATTTAGAGCTTGGGTTAACAAACATTTTCCAACAGGCATAAGACCCTGGGTTGACTAAACAAGAAAGAGAAAATATATAGGAAGCAATTGTGACAGAATTTCTGTTGGCCAGAGAACTAGCAAGTAGCGAACTGCCACTTCTCAGGCCTCTCCTGGAGTTACCGCCTAGCTGTAATCCTTGGACAATGGAGAAAGATGGCCCAAAAGTCAACAAAATCCAAGACAGTCATGAGGTAATGTTTAGAATGTAGATCAAGGCCTTCATCTTACCAATCAAAAAAGATGATGGCAGCTGGGTATGGTATGGATGGTGGCCCACACCTTTAATCCCAGCATTCAGGAGGCAGAGGCAGGCGGATGTCTGTGAGTTCTAGGACAGCCAGGGCCACAATGAAACCCTGCTTCAAACAAACAAACCACCAACTCAAAAATCAAAAAGAAAAATTTAGGGAAAGTGACCTGTTGAACTGCAACTTTTATTAATCTTACTTGATTTTAGTTTTTGGAGACAGGGTCTCTCCATGGGTAGCCCTACTAGCCTTGAATTGGTGGCAACTCTTGTCTTTGGGGAGACAGAGGCATGTTGGACGATCTTGGTAGATGGGGCATTCATTCCCCTACCACATAGACAGTCCTCAGGTCCCCTCCCAGCAGGACCACAATTTTTAACTTCCTACGATTGTATTCCCCCAAACGGAACACCTGGAATCTGGATGCTGTCAGCAACTTCCTACTTATCTTCCCATGGGCTGGTGATATGCCTCAATAGGGCAGCAGGGCTTAATCCGTGGTTGTTTCCCCTCTGCAGGTCTTTTTCAAAGGGGTCGCCTAAAAGACCATCCTGCACATCAGATAGTTACATTACGATTTATAATAGTAGCAAAATGACAGTTATGAAGTAGCAATGAGAATAATTTTATTGTCGGTGGTCAGCACTACATGGTGAACTAACTATATTAAGGGGTCACAGCAATCGGAAGGTTGAGATCCCCTGCAATAAAGAATTTATCGCTCAATGTTAGGTCTCCTGGACTGAAGTGGTGGAAAGAGAGAACTCTAAATTCCCCGCTCTCCACACGGAAACACGTACATGAATTTTTTTTTAATTTTTTTCTTTCTAATGACCTTTAAAGCCTGTAATCCCAGCCATGGGGAAGCAGAGATAGGAAAATCAAGGAAGGCCAGCCAGGCCTATATGAAGTCCAAGGTTAGCCCGAGGACCTCATAAACACTGTAAAACAAAACCACCTCAAGACCTTCACATAAATAAATTTTTCCTCGCCTCTTCGTTGACTATGTCCTCTAAGGCCTTTGCCGCAAGCAGTCTAGGACAAAGGTCAGGCTTTAGGGTCCTCTACCGTAATGCAGAGAGCGCGTCCTCGTTCTTGGGGAGCTCCCTTCCCCAGGAGCGGATCCCTTCCCGACTGCACGCACCGCCTCACCACCCGCCAGCTTCCCCCTACCTACGCCCTGGCCACCCGACTCAGTCCCTACCCCTAAAGAGGGTCTCACCTGACGGAAGGGGCCACCCGGGAAGAGCAGCTTCCGCGCGGCATCCTAGGTGTTTGTATATTCAACAATTCAACATCCAGACACAGCAAACTCCGAAACGCCCACCATCGACCAGCAAAGAGAGGAAGGTGGGAGGCGGAGCCTCAAATCTTAGCCAATCAGAGCCCAGGAGGAGCATGGATGCTGAAGGTCATTGGAAGAGCGAGACGTCAGTAACGGGCAGCGGCTGCACGCCCACTCCGGAAAGTTGCTTGGCGACGGCGCTTTGTAGCTAACCAGAAGTTCTTGGGATTGCTCTGTCAAAGCTTGTTCTTAGATTCTGTGAGGGATGCTGAGGTTTTTGCTTCCAATAGACAATTGGCTTCCTCCACTACTCAGGCTGTCCTTGATTTTGAGATTCTCCTGCCTCAGCCTTTCAAGTAAACTTGATTGGGGCATTACAGGTATGTGTCGCCCTGTCTACTGTATTTAAGTGTTAAACCTGAAACTTGCGAGGAGAAAGACTAAGTCATGATTGTCTACTCAAAGCAAGCATTGATTTAGAGGTTCACTCGGTACTGGCCAGCCGGCTGTCTAACATACGTCGGCATTTAAAAAGCAACCCCGTACTGGACTTTTGTGGCCTCTTTTATGGGGGAAAGATATATTAATAGAAAATAGCTGTGTGTTTATAGACACAAGAGAATTGGCTGTTAGAGATTGTTAGAAAAATATAATGAAAGAGGAAGACAAGGGTATAAATATCTTGTTAATGGGATCACACATCAGATTTAAGAAGCAACCTTATTCATGAAAAGAAACCTATTTTTGCCGAGCGGTACTGGCACACACCTTTAATCCCAGTACTCAGGAGGCAGAGGCAGGCAGATGTCTGTGAGTTCGAGGCCAGCCTGGTCTACAAGAGCTAGTTCCAGGGCTGGAGAGATGGTTCAGAGGTTAAGAGCATTGCCTGCTCTTCCAAAGGTCCTGAGTTCAATTCCCAGCAACCACATGGTGGCTCACAACCATCAGTAATGGGGTCTAGTGCCCTCTTCTGGCCTGCAGGCATACACACAGACCGAATATTGTATACATAATAAATAAATTTAAAAAAAAAAAAGAAGAAGAGCTAGTTCCAGGACAGGCTCCAAAGCTACAGAGTAAACCTTGTCTCAAAAAAAACAAAAAAAAATTTTTTTGTAAAGTCTGGGGGCTTAATATAATGGCCTTAATTTGCTAGGTATGTTGCTCCTGTTTTGGTCTCACATCCCCCCGTTGGCCTATGTTACCCTTCCAAATCTTTGACATGGGAGCAGCATTGCCTGTTGTCGGTTAAACAGTATTCTGGCATTGAATATCTTGCGTGTGATAAGGCTAGTAGTACACTGAAAAACACGGGGCCCAAATATTATGATTGAGAGAACTATCAGAGAGCCAATGAAGGGAAAGAACCTGCTTAGCCAGGAGGTGCTAATCAACCTGTGCATTCTCTATGCAAGTCATTGATTTGGTTATCAGTGGTGTGGGAGAAACCTGATACATTGAAACAACACATGGGGGGGGGGTAATTGCTGATATCCAAGATTATGCTTGACCAATAGATAGCCTCATGCAGCTCTATTTTGTAAGACTGTTGTTCTTAACGCTCCCATTTCGTGATTAATTTTTGCCGGTATCTTAAGCTATTCAGCAGGGGATTTTAGAGATCTCCTTTTGCATCCCCACAACCAAGCCAGGCAGAGGCAATACAAAGGCAGCTGGGACTGCCATCGAGGTGGGTTCCAGCAGATGTAAGGAATCAGCAGAGTTTTCAGTTCCCTGACGTCATAATCCTATTAGCAGATTGTAGAGACGACTGAATGAAATAGGTGTGACGTGTCCTAGCCCATGCGTGCTCTTACAGCCTTCATGGAAGGCAGACTAAGTGTTATTGTCACACACAAAAAAAGTTTTCCCTCAGGGAGAGCATGATTGGAAATAGGGTTGAGGTGGGGAGGAACGTCAGTACAATCAAAACCTAGTCAGTGAAGGAAAAAAGGCACCATTTACAAAAATATCGCGATAACCTTGGAAATATGTTTACAGAGGCGTGTTCAACGTGTCTCCTTGTTTTTTGTTTTGTTTTGTTTTTGTTTTTCCCAAAAGCCCAAGAATTGCAAGATCCCCTTAGACACAAAAGGAATTTGTCTGTCTGCTATTTGACCCTAGGTGGAGCTAAAAACTGGTATCCAATCTACTACGTATGTTAATTTAGACAGAAATGACTAAGTACTGTTTTCCGTTTTTCGTCTTAATACATTTGTAATGTCCATTAACAGATATTGTTAAAGAATATTTAATTATGATCAAGTCTGGATTGTTACATTGGGACCGGTCGGTCAAATTAATTTATCCTGTTATGCCCACGTAATGAGCTCCCCCAGGAGTCCAGGTTCATAGGCAGAAGCAAAGAGCCTTTATTGCAAGTGCAAGCAAGCTTGGGCTCTCTGTCCATTGGATCGGGGAGAGCATAGAGCTCAGCTATGGCGTGGTTTTTAAGGGATAAAGGATGGGGAAGGGGAATTCTGGATTCAGATGGGGGTTGAACTTGTGATTGGGTAGGAGTGGAGTAACAGAAGTCTTGTCAAACAGGGATTGGTACTGGTGGTGCTGGAAATTGGCAACTTATATAGAAGTTAGGTAAGCTATTCGTAATATTCTGGAGCATCTAGTACTTGTTTGTCTCAGTCCTGATTGGTCCCCCGCAGGTACAGTCTGTAGCTTTTCCTGGTTATTTATTGTAAGGGTGAGCCTAGTCCCACTATTGTTCATCTGCAGCCTGTCATGGCTGCACTGATGTCAAGTCAGGCCTCCTCACATCCCAGTTGCCCTCCTTCCATTTGGGTAAAAATGATTTGTTTTCCTTCCTTCAGCAAAACAATGGGACCTGGTGGGTGGGAAAAGCCTTACAAATTAATATTAAAGTATTTCTGTAACAAGTGTACCTTCTATCCCCCCTCCCCAGTTAAAAGAAAGGATCATAGCCGGGGGATGGTGGCACATACCTTTAATCCCAGTATTCAGGAGGCAAAGGCAGGTGAATCTCTGAGTTCAAGGCCAGCCTGGTCTACAGAGTGAGTTCCAGGACAGGCTCCATAGCTCCCTGTCTCTAAAAAACCAAAATAAAAATAAAATAAAATAAAGACAGGATCATGATTCCAGGGCAAATTGGAGCATAATTGTTATCGAGAGAGCAATCATAACAATCAAAGGCACCTACAAAGTAGGAACGATCAGAAATCTTAGAATTTTTAATTTTTAATGAGGCATGTTCAGTCACAATCCACCTCTTTTCCTGTTAGAAGTCAAAGAACAACTCATGGGAGTGGATTCTCTCCTTCCATGTCTGTCAGGGGATCTAACTCAGGTCCTCAGCCTTGGCAGTTGATGCCTTCTTCTCACTAACACCCTTGCAACATTGTTGAACATTCACTGAGAGATAATGCAATAGACTGTCATATACTGTTGAGCAAACAACAGACCAGTCATGTCCCACAAGGAAGAGGAACCTCCCTAGTGTAAAGATAACTAAACTGTAGTTTGTTTATTGGGCATATGTGTGATCTATGCATGTGGGGGGGGGTATGTTCATGTGTGGTATCCTCTGCTCCTCCACTTCATAATTTTTAGGATTAAAAAAATTTAAGGGGCTGGAGAGATGGCTCAGAGGTTAAGAGCACTGGCTGCTCTTCCAGAGGTCCTGAGTTCAATTCCCAGCAACCACAGGGTGGCTCACAACCACCTGTAATGAGATCTGGTGCCCTCTTCTGGTGTGCAGGCATAGATGCAGGAAGAACACTGTATGCATAATAAATAAAAATCTTAAAAAAAAAGAAAGACTTATGATATGACCTCTGTATCACATTTGCATACACACATGTACACACACTTGCATGAACCATACAAGACAAAAATATTTTTAATGATTTATTTTTATCTTATGTACATTGGTGTTTTGACTGTGTGTGTGTCTGAATGAAGGTATTAGACACTCTGAAACTGAAATTACAGACAGTTGTGAGCTGCCATGTGGGTGCTGAGAATTGAACCTGGGTCCTCTGAAAGAGAAGCTAGTGCTCTTAACCACTGAACCATCTCTCCAGCCCAAAAAAATAGTATTTAAAAAGATAAAAATTTAAAAGCTGGACAGTGGTGACACAACTTTAATCCCAGCACTTAGAGGGCAAAGACAGGCAGATCTCTGTGAGTTTGAGGCCAACCTAGTCTACAAAATAAATCCCAGGTCAGCCAAGACTGTTATACAGAGAAATCTTGTCTTGAAAAAAAAATTAAATTACAAAACTAGGTATAGCGACTCATGCCTTTATTCCCAGCACTCAGGAGACAGAGGCAGATGGATTTCTGTGAGCTGGAGACCAGCCTAGTCAACAGAGGAAATTCCAGCATAGACAGGGCTACACAGAGAAAACTTGTTTCGAAAAGAAAATTAAATTGTGTATATTGTGTGTGTTTTTGAATATGCATGAGTGCTCAAAGTATTGGATGCCCCTGGAGCCGGAGTTAGAGTTTTTAGCTATCTGACATGGGTGCTCAGAATTAAATTCGGGTCCTTTTGGGTACTCAGCAAGCAGAGTGCAGGCTCTTAGCTGCTGAGCCATCCCTCCAGCCACTCCACAGCATTGCTGGGGACAGGACTTCTCAGTGGGAGATGGAACTCAGCATTTCAGCTAGACTGCCTAGCCAAGCAGGCCCCGGATCTGTCTGTCTCTGCCCCCCAGAACCGGAGTTGCAGATGTATGCACTATGCCCAGCTTTTATATGGGTTCTCAGGATATGAACTCATTCCTCATGCTTACATAGCAAATGCATTACCCACTGAGCCATCTCCCCAGCTCCTGAACCCCAGTTTTGATAGGAATAACAATGAAGTTGAACAATCACATCAATAAACACAGGTGGTGTATTTCTATTTAACAAAAGCAGGAGCTATGTGACAGTATGGGTTCCAGGGCTTCTGTCCCAGGCTGGGGATGCAGGGCATAGACGGTTAGTTAGAAACAGCACGGCTCTTTCCAAAGCTCCATGTAAGGGAACCTGAGGTCACCGTCCTTCCCCCACACTGCAGAGTAAAATGACTGTTGTTTTCCTCTGGGTGGACAGGGCACCTGCCTCAGGACAGGCTAATAAATCTTACACTTTCATTCTTCTTGTCAGGGAAAGTTCCCCAAGGGTGACAGAGCTGAAGACGGTTTTCATGGACTGTCACCAGTGAGCGCTTTTCCCCCACAGAACAACTATGGTGAGACCTCCTATTGTACAGTGTCTGACAAGGTGGCCGAGAAAAATCTTCCCCGGCCTCCCCCGGGCATCTGGTGGGTGGAGAGAGTCCCCTACTCCCCCATCTAATGACCCACTGCTACACTGAAGGACTATACGACCTCATGGGCAATGTGTAGGAATGGACGGCGTCCACATACCAATCTGCTGGCCAGGATATGCGTGTCCTCCGGGGGGCGTCATGGATCGACATCGCTGATGGCTCAGCCAATCACCTGGCTCGGGTCACCACCAGGTAAAGATCTTAGGTCAGGGCACCACATGTTTTCTGTAGCCATGACTGAGGGTCTAGATTCAGAGGTTCACAACCTTCTTAATGCTGTGATACTTTAATACTGTTCCGGGTACAAATGTGGGCATATTCGCATGTGAGCTGGCCCACACGGAGATAGATGGAGGCGGCGTCTCAATTCAGGTTCAAGACCCACAGGTTGACAAGCATTTCTTGGCTACCCAAAACTTCAGTTATGTTACAGAATTTTCTTTCCCACAGTTTCTAATAAAGCCTGGTTAGTACACCATCTTCCAGTCACACTGGAGGCAGGGCTCCTTTAGCTAAATTCCAAGCAAGTTTATTAGTAAATCCTTTATAACACCATTTTACTATGAGCTTCTCCTGCATCACCAGCACTAGGAGACTGAGTCATGAGAAGAGCGAGTTCCAGGCCAACGTCCGATAGGTGAGGCCTTGTTGCAAAAGAAAATCTGAGAAGGGTTAGGTAAACAATCCAAGGCCCTCTGGTAGAAAAGGCAAGGATGACTCACTTAAGGTTGCATTTAACCCCGTTAACATAGTAGGCATGGCGACGTGCCTGTAATCCCCAGTCCAGTTTCCTCGAGTGGCTGAGGCAGTAGGATCTGAAAATGAAAGTCAGCCTGAGTTGTGGGGGAAGCCAGTCGTCCACCGGAAGCAAAAACCTAACCATCCAGCAGAGAATCTGGGGACGAGATTTGAGAAGGCAACCCGAGGAACTTCCGGTTACCTACAGGGCCTGGTCGCCAACCTCTTGACTTCCCGGCGTGTGACGCAGCACCCTGGCGTTTCCCGTTACTGACGTCTGGATCTTCCAATGACTTTCAGCGCTCCTGCACCTCCGGAGCGCTGATTGGTTTCCCTCTGAGAACCCGCCTCCCCTCTTCCGCTCTCCTTGGTAGAGAAGTTGCTGGACGCTCGTCGGCGTTTCGCAGTTCATAGTCTTTGGACTCCGAGTGTGTGAGCACCTAAGATGCCGCGTGGAAGCCGAAGCCGCTCTTCCCGGGTGGCCCCTCCGGCCAGGTGAGACCCTCCTTAGGGGTGGGGACTGAACGCGGGCCGCCAGGGCGTAGGTAGTGGGCGGCCGGCGGGTGGTGAGACGGTGCGAGCGTTCGGGCAGGGATCCGCTCCTGGGGAAGAGGGCGCCTCGAGAACGGGGACGCGCTCTCTGCATTACGGAAGAGGACGCTAAGGCCCGACCTTTGCCCTAGACTGCTTGCGGCAAAGGCCTTAGAAGACATAGTCAACAAAGAGGCGAGGAAAAATTTATTTATGTGAAGGTCCTGAGGTGGTTTTGTTTTACTGTGTTTTTGAGGTCCTCGGGCTAACCTTGGACTTCATGTGGGCCTGGCTGGCGTTCCTTGATTTTCTTGACTCCGCTTCCCGACGGCTGGTCTTTAGAAAAATAAATAAATAAATTTTGTCAATGTACGGGCCCTCGTGTGGTGAGCCGAATATTCAGAGTTCTCTCCTTCCACCACTTTGAACCAGAATATTTTACACTTAGTGGTAATCGCTCAATTGAGACAGCTCCGCGGCCCACGTGAAAATAAGTAGGAAATTGTTGACAACTTCCAGATTTTTAGGGAATAAAATCGTAGAAAATTAACAATTGTTGCCTTACTAGGAGGAACCTGAGGTCTGTCTATATGGTAGGGAAATGCCCCGTCCCACCAAGATCGTCCCCCAAACCACTGTCTCCCCAAAGACATGAGTTGTCACCAGTTCAAGGCTACCCATGAAGAAACCCTGTCTCCAAGAACTAAGAGGAATTAGGTTGATAAAAGTTGCCGTTAAGATAGGTCACTTCACCTGAATCTTTCTCTTTGATTTGGATTGGTTTCACTGTGGCCCTGGCTGTCCTGGAACTCACAGAGATACACCTGCCTCTGCCTCCTGAATACTGGGATTAAAGGTATGGGCCACGATCTTTGCCATACCCAGCAGCTTTCATCTTTTTTGATTGGTAAAATGAAGGCCTTGATGTACATTCTAAACATTACCTCATGACTGTCGTGGATTTTGTTGACTTTTGGCTGTCTTTCTATATTGTCCAAGCTGGCCCTAAAGTCATGTGCTAATGATCTTGTCCCCTCGCTGGATTAGGGATTATTTGCTTTCTATATATTTTCTCTTCCTACTTTAGTCAACCAGGGTCTCATGCCTGCTAGGAAAATGTTTGTTAACCCAAATTCTAAATCTAAATCTGTTTGTGTGCCTGTGTGAAGGTCACAGGGCAACTTGTGGGAGTTGCTTATTTCCTTCCTTGTGGACTCCAGGAATTGAACTGAGGTTGGCAGGCATGGCAGCAAGCACCTTTCACCTGGAAGTATTTCATCAGCTCTCAAGCTCTCTTTCTTTCTTTCTTTCTTTCTTTCTTTATTTATTTATTTATTTTCTTTATTTTCTGGCACAGAGTTTCTCTGTGCGCTGGTTGTCCTGGAACTCACTATGTAGACTAGGTTGGCCTAGAACTAGAGAAATCCACCTGCCTCTGCCTTCAGAGTGCTGGAATTAAAGGTGTGCACTACCACATCTGGCTTAAATTCTAAATCTTTTTGTTTTTCTTTTCTTTTTTTCTTTTTTTTTTTAAAGATTTATTTATTTATTATGTATACAACATTCCTGCAATGTATGTTTGTATGCCAGAAGAGGGCTCCAGATCTCATTATAGATGGTTGTGAGCTACCATGTGGTTGCTGGGAATTGAACTCAGGACCTCTGGAAGAGCAATCAGTGCTCTTAACCTCTGAGCCATCTCTCCAGCCCCCTTCTTTTTTGTTAAGTGAGTTTGTGAGCCTTGGGAGGTCAGAGCTGTCAGATGACCTGGAGCTAGGATTTGCAGTGGGTGGTTAAGAGCTGCTGGGAACCGAACTTGGGCTTGTGGAAGAAGAGTTTAACTGTTGAGGCGAGGCAGTTCTCTCCCTTTCCAACTTAAAGCTGATGTTTTAGGAGTATTGGAATAACTGTTCTTTAAAGATACTGTGAACCATGTGTATATATGAAAATATTTTTTTTAAAAAAGGACAAAATAGTTTATACTTGGTTTTTAAAACTTCTACAATCCTGGTGGTGGTGCACACTTCTGATCCCAGCACTCCAGAGGAGGGGGAAGATGGATCTTATGAGTTTGAGGCCAGCCTCGTCTACAGAGCCAATTCTAGAACAACCAGGTTACACAAAGAAAACCCTGTCTTGGGGGAGGGTGACAAAATGGGACGATGGACCTTACCCAAAAGATTAAAGAGACAAAATGTTGTATATGTATATATAAGAGGCACAGTTTTGGGCTGGAGAGATGGCTCAGAGGTTAAGAGCACTGCCTGCTCTTCCAAAGGTCCTGAGTTCAATTCCCAGCAACCACATGGTGGCGCACAACCATTTGTAATGGGGTCTGGTACCCTCTTCCGGCTTGCAGGCATACAGACAGACAGAATATTGTATACATAATAAATAAATAAATTTTTTTTTCAAAAAAGAGTACACAGTATGTACATGAGAGGCACAGTGTTGCTTCTATATGTACATGAGAGGCACAGTGTTAATGAGAACAAGTTTCTGTAGTCTTCTCGCATGTGGATGGTGTGGAGAGTTAAAGGTTTCAAATGATGCCAGGCAGTTGTAGCACACAGATTTAAACTCCAGCGACTGGGAGAGAAGATGAGTTCCAGGACAGCCAGGGCCACACACAAAACCTGTCAAAAAAAACAAACAAAAAATGATTTAAAGGCTGGAAGGTTGGCTTTATCGTTAAGAACACTGGCTGATGATCTTTCTCAGGACCCAGGTTTGATTCCCAGCAACTCTAGGTCCAAGTGATTGAAAACTCTTTTGGCACGCAGGTGGTACACAGACATACATGCATGTAAACAATCATAAAATAAGATAGATTTAAAATGAAGCGAGGCAGGGTGAAAATCCTTGTAATCCCAGTACTGGGTGAGGCTGGTATAGGATTCCTAGGTAGAGCTTGCTCTTGTTTTGGCTAGGGCATTTATTTAATTTTTGGTTGGTTGGTTTTTGTTTTTATTTTTTGAGAGGAGAATATCCTTTAAAATCACATTGTAGAGCAAGGATGACAGAAGATATACCAAAGTATGGTGAAAACCCGAAGGCTCAGCCTACAGCAAGAGCTACCAGCAACTGAGGAATGCCCAGAGCAGGAGAGATAAGTCTTCCCTAGCGAGGACACACCCTTTAGTTACCCAATACCAAGAGGTCAGCCACTACCGCCCAGCCTGAAATACTGTTGTACAAGCAGCAGCTGTTTAATATTTGAATAATCTTTCAGGCAGCTATTGCCTGTGAATGGGTATGTCCAAATGAAATAGGGATGTGAGCCTTGGAAGGCCAGAGGTGTCAGGTGGCTTAGATCTGAGTTTCACTGTGGGCAGTTAAGAGTTGCTGGGAAGCCGGGCGGCGGTGGCGCACGCCTTTAATTCCAGCACTTGGGAGGCAGAGGCAGGCGGATCTCTGTGAGTTCGAGACCAACCTGGTCTACGAAAAAAAAGAGTTACTGGGAACTGAACTTGTGCTCTGTGGAAGAACAGCGTGCAAGTCTTAACTCTTGAGCAATCCCTCCGTCTTACTTTTTAACCCTTTTTTTTTGTTTTGTTTTGTTTTTTAAGATAGGGCTTCTCTGTGTGGCATTTGTTGTCTTGGAACTCACCCTATAGACCAGGCTGGCTGTGAACGCAGAGATCCTCCTGCCTCTGCCTCATGAGTGCTGGGATTAAAGTGCACCACCACAGCCCTTTCTAACTCTTAAGGTTTTTGATTTTATGAAGTATTGTAATAACTTTTTAAAAGATACTGTGAGCCATGTGGATACATGAAAATCGTTACAAAAAGGACAAAATAGTATATGCTTGGTTGTTAAAACCTTAACAGAAGATTAAAGAGGTACATCAGTGTTTATATGCAGCAATTGGAAACAGTTTCTGTAGCCTTCCTGCGTGGGTTTGGTATGTCGGGTTAGAGATTTAAAATGAGGCTGGAAAGTTGTCTTTACAGTTAAGAGAACTGAGTGACCTTCCAGAGGACACAGGTTTGATGCCCAGCACCCACATGACCCCTCAAAACCATCTGTAACTCTAGGTCCAGGTGATCTAAAGGCCTCTTCTGGCATACAAGTGGTACACAGACATACATGCATGTAAACAATTATAAAATAAGATTTAAAATGAAGCGAGGCAGGGTGAAAATGCTTGTAATCCCAGTACTAGGTGAGGCTGGTATAGGATTCGTAGGTAGAGCTCACTCTTGTTTTGGCTAGGGCATTTATTTAATTTTTGGTTGGTTGGTTTTTGTTTTTATTTTTTGAGAGGAGAGTATCCTTTAAAATCACGCTGTAGAACAAGGATGACAGTAGATATGCCAAAGTATGGTGAAAACCCGAAGGCTCAGCCTACAGCAGGAGCTACCAGCAACTGAGGAATGCCCAGAGCAGGAGTTCAAGGCCAGCCTGGTCTGCAGAGAGAGTTCCAGGACAGGCTCCAAAGCTACAAAGAGACCCTGTCTTAAAAAACCAAAAACAAACAAAAAGAATGTATGTGTATACACATAAACGCATCTAATAACAGTTAATGAAAAAAGTTTGCAGTCAGTCAAGGAGGGGCATATGGGAGGGGGGAAAGAAAAGAGGGGAGTGTTGCAGTTTTTATTCTTTGAAAAAATAATAATGTAGAAGGAGGAGAAATGACTGTGTAGGGTGACCTTGGCC